AAGTCGGCGTTGGTCGCCGATCGGATTTTTGTTTTTCTGATTAAGCTAGGATTAAAAAGATTATGTCTTGGTGATTAATGTGCTTACCTGTGACCTATGCGTATGTGCGGAGAACGACATTGACAACAAAAAGACTTTGAAGCATTTGCGGTAGGTCTATGCGTCGCGTAGTGTTGGTTTAATTTAGGTGTCCGACTGAGTTAGACCAAGACTTGAGCCTAGCACTGGCGGTTACGGCATCAGACTCGCATCAAGGAGATTCTGGGATCGAGACCGAGCGGCGACGACATATGAATATTGGAATAGTGTGGAGGGTCCCGCGCTGCCCTTGTGTGGTGCCGGACCGATGCGCTCGACACCGGGCCCTGCGCAAAATAGGCGTAGAGCTTCTTCCTAGGGTCTAGGGGCGCCAAGGGGTTTTGATCAACCCCTGGCAGCACCTCGTTGTGGCGGATCCCGAGAGGGACCCACATATTTCGAAAAAAAAAGGCTCGATGTGAGTCGTCGGTCCACCAAGATCGACGGCCTAGATCGGGTCAATTTTGAATTCGAAATCGCGCTGCGCTGCTGCCCGGCTGCTTGCTGCCCCAGTGCTCGTTGCTCTGCTGCTCGCTGCCCCGCTGCCCCGCTGCCCTGCTGCTCGCTGCTCGCTGCCCCGCTACCCTGCTGCTCGCTGCCCGCCGCCCCGCTGCCCGCTGCCCCGCTGTTTCGATGCTGCAGGCATAGCTGCCGCCGTCGGGTGCTGCTCCTCCTCTACTCGTTGCTGAAGGTGAGCCTTTACCTCCTCCTCCTCCTCCTCCTCCCCTCGACTTTCACCTTTTCCACCTCCTCCACCTCCTCCTCCTCCTCCTCCTCCTCCTCCTCCTTTTGCACCTTCTCCTCCTCCCTTAGCACCTTCTCCTCCTCTTCCTCCCGCTGTTCCACTGATGCAGGCATAGCCGCCGCCGCTGGAGCCATCGCCGGGTGTTGCTCTTCCTGTACTCGTCGCTGAAGGTGAGCCTCCACCTCCTCCTCCTCCTCTTCCTCCTCCTCCTCCTCGACTTTCACCTCCTCCATCTCCTCCTCCTCCACCTCCTCCTCCTTGTCCTCCTCCTCCTCCTCTTCCTACTCGTCTTCCACCTCCTCCTCTTCGTCTTCCACCACCTCCTTCTCCCTTTGCTCCTCAACCTCCTCCTCCTCCCGCTGTTCCGTTGCTGCAAGGGTAGCCGCCGTCGTTGGAGCCATGGCCGGGAGCTGCTCCTCCTCTACCCGTCGCTGAAGGTGAGCCTCCACCTCCTCCTCCTCCTTCTCCTCCTCCTGCTCCTCCTCCTCCTCCTTCTCCTCCTCCTCCTCCTCGGCTTTCACCTCCTCCACCTCCTCCACCTCCTCCTCCCCCTCAATCTTCAATCAATCAATCGATGAAAAATCAAGATCCAATCCAATCGATTGATTCATATGGATAACATTTTGTTTTTTGTTTTTCATCGATTGATTGATTGATTGATTGATCCAATTGAATCGATCGATTTGATTGGTTCCTGATTTGGAAATCAAGATCCAATCGAATCGATTGATTCGATTGGATAATCCGATAATGTTTTTTTTTTTTTTTTTT